CCTCCCCCTCCTCCTCCTCCCCCCCCTTCGCTCTACGAGTCCTCACTCCGTTGTTTCCCCTCCTCCCCCTCCTCCCCCTCCTCCTCCTCCTTCTCCTCCTCCTCCTCCTCCTCTCCTTCCTCCTCCCCCCCGCCCCCTCCTCCATTCCTTTCCCTTTATACATAACTTCTCCCTGTCGCACCCCGAGGCCAATTTTCAGGGCGGGCCGGGCGTTCCGCCTGAGCTTTCTTTCCTCACCACTTAGAATCCTGAAGGCTTAGAAGTGGCAACCTCTCACAGATGTGGCTCTCGCCTCAGCGCCCAGCACATTCGTTTTGATCATTTGCAAGCGCTTCACGGATTAAGGGCGGGTCGTTTTCAAAATGTTGCTCTCGCGTTAGCGCCGCGCACATGCATGTTAAACAGTTGCAAGATTTTCACGGATTGAGGGCGGGTCGTTTTCAAACTGTAGCTCTTGCCTTAGCGCCGCGCACAATGATGTTAACAATTGCAGGAGTTTCACGGATTGAGGGCGGTTCCTTTTCAAAAGGTGGCGCTCGCCTCAGCGACGCGCACATGTTTAAACGTTTGCAAGAGTGTCACGGATTCTCATGACCAACGTACCAGAGATACATTGCGATTTGGAAGGATTCTGGAATATGAGGGTGCACAAATTACGTTGATTCGCGGCGTTGAAGTCCCATGGCACGACTCAGGATCGTCAAGACGAAACAGTCAGGTTGTTCCGTGGGGCTGGAATCCCGAGAACAAAGTTTTGGCATGCTTCAGGGTGTCTGTCTCCAAACGGCTGTCATCCAACGAGACAGTTCCCTCAGTGGAAATGAGCGTTTGTAGGGGCCCATGAAGAGGGAGCTTGGAGGGAGGGTTTATTCCAACCTCGTCGATGACTCTTGGATTTACACTGGTCCTCCTTCTCCTCCTACTCCTTCTTCGCCTCTTCCTCCTCCTCCTCCTCCTCCTGTCCTCCTCCTCCTCCTGCTCGTCCCCCTCGTCCTCCTCCTCATCCTCCTCCTGCTCCTCCCCTCCTCCTCCGCCCTCTCCTCCTCCGCCCGCCCCCCCCCCCTCCCTCCCGGAGCTGCCGAAGCGGTCGCCAGTGGCCGGAGGCGGCGGCGGCCAGCACCTCCTTGCGTGCTGACGCCCAGCTGGCGGGGCTCGCCGCCTAAACAGGGGGGGCCGAGGCGGCGGGGGCAGGGAGCGGAGGCAGAGCGCGCCCGCGAGGGCGCAGAAGCAGACAAGGGCAGACTACGAGACTGTAGAAGGTGCCGCACGGATGCAGTCCAACATCTGGAGCAAAGAGGGGCGGCAACGACGCAAGGGCCTTGGACGCCGAAGTTGACACTTCTAGGGCGGCGGTCTGTCGACACCCGAGGGGCTAGCCGGTGGAAACGGCGGCGGGCGGGCCGCAGAGGCAAGGACGCAAGGGTAGCCTAAGGACAACCGTGCGTCCGACAGACTTCCGAGTCAAGAGCGCATAAATGTTTGGCGACGTGAGCAAGGGGGTAGGGGGAGGGAGGGAGGAAGGCCTCTCAGAGGGAGGCTGCTTCTTAGAAGGCGCCGGACGTACATCTGTAGACAAGGGCGCGCCTTCTGAGAGGCATGCGTCTAAGACGCCCGCCCCCCGGGCCCCATTCCCCCCATTGCGCGTGGCCGACATGACTCCGAATTCCCAGTTCCCGCTTCTCAATCCTGCTCGTGTTTCACACTGGCTGCCTGGCTGGTATAGGGTGGACTGCTGATTCCCCCCGTGCCCTGCACGGGGCCGAGCAGCCAACAGGCTCGCTCGTGTGGCTCGCTCGCTCGCCCGGGTTTCTCGGACCGGCGCCAGGCCCCCACCCACGCCCAGAGGGCTGGTGGATCTGGCCATCGCTCGGACGTCCATTCCCCGTGCTGTTGTCGGTTTCGTGCGTGGTTTTTTCGCCAAAGGATCAAGGATGCTCCTCGACGGTCCTCGCCGAAGGAAAAATGCACGTCCGAGCGAGGCCAAGGGATTGGAGAGGGGAACACGCAATGGCCTAAACATAAAAACTGGGAGGTCCGCGCGGATTCCTCGGATCACCGCTGGGACCCCCTCCCTGGCGCACGGAAGGCGCCATGGGTGACGTCGGAGGGCCCAGCGCAGATCAAAGAGATCTGCGCGGTCCGAGAAATTATGTCTGTGCCATTTGCTGCTCGTCGACCCTCGGAGAGCACCGCGGAGGGTCGCCGCCTGCCTGTCGGAGCATGCCTTTCCTCGTCCTCCCGCTGGGGCCGCCATTATGAAAGAACGGGATCCTGAGGGACGGGTCCTGCCCTGGTTATTGGATGCCAGATTTTTCTGATCGCGACCGACAAGATCGGTCGCTATCGATGTTGCTTGAAATTCCGGTATCGGTCGCAACCAGTTGGCTTCAAAATCGGTCGCGACCGACTTGGGAATCGGTCGCGATCGCTCGCGACCTACTTGGAATGCCAATCGGTCTCTACGGATCGCGATCGAAAAATCTGGTATCCAGTGATGACCTGGGTGAGGTGCTTCGCAGTTTGTTTGCTTGGCGATGCTCTCCACGGATCCCAGGACAATCAGAGAACGACTCACGATGCAGAACTAGCCCGTGGGGGAAAGCCCTGGGGCCCAGGACCCCTCATGACCCGTCTCACGCATGCACGTGTGAAGGAGCCCCACAACACACACACACACATAAATGCACACAAATGAAAGGATTCTCCATATTTTATCATATTTTCTGTGTTTCTGTCTTCCCCCCACTTCCCATATTTTCCCATATGTTCCTGGGAGTCGACGATTAATTGTGTCTGTGTGCTTCTTTCCCTCCTGAAACTGGGGGGGGAGAGGGGGGGAAAGACAGCATCACAGGCACGCCGCTGGGGGGAGAACCCACTCCGCGCGCCCGGGGCGGCGATGCACGGCGGGGCGGTCCATGTGGCGGGGGCAGCGCGAGGGCTGCCGAGCAGGGCCCCTTGTTTTTGAAGGGCCCCTGGACCGGCCCTCCCGGGCCCGAAAGGAAGCCTTTCTTTGGGGCCCGAGAAGAGTGCACCCTTCTCCCCCCCCCAATTCATCGCCCCCCCCCCCCATGAAGCGCCGCCCAGGCTCGGGGGCGGCCAAGAGGGGGGTGTCCAAACGGGGGGGGGGGGGGCAAACCATGACCGGCGGCACGTGCGCGGCCCGGCGGGGGGGGACCAGGGACGCAATGAAAGAAGCAGAGGCGCCCTGAAATCTGGGGGAACATCCTGGCCCCCGCCATGAGATCCCCCCCCTGCTCATCACTCCCCCCTTTGCCGCTCCCGACCAAGCGCCACTGCGGGAGCAGCCCCGGGCCTGCGGGCAGCAACGAGGGCGCCAAACGCCGACGGGCTCCTGTAGCGGCAGCGTGCCGTGTGTTGAGCAGGGGCCGGCCGGCCCGGCATTCCTGTCGTCCTACCACGAAGCGTTCTTAGAAACCGAACATGTTCTAAGAAGAAAAACAATGTTCTCAGAACAGAAGCCCGATGTGATATAACAAGACAGACTCCGCCAAACATGTTCTAAGAACCATGCCGTGTGCTGCTCGCTCTCTCTTCTTCCCTCCCGGCCCGCCGCTGGCGGGGGCCGCCTGCCGGCCGGAGGTATATGAGGCGAGCGAGGAGCTGGGCCGGAGGCCTCCCGACCGGGCTTTCCGGGCCGTCGTATATATATATATATATATATAGATATGTGACGGCCCGCACCGCCTCGCCGAGGCATCGGCGGCAACGGCGATGCCTCGGAGCAGTCGGGGCGGAGAACGCCGGGGGGGGGGGCCGCATCGCGCTGCATCGCCGGTGCATCGGCGCTGCGGCGCGGTGCTCCGGCCCCATCTGCTCGGCCCCGCTGGGGAGGCCCAGGGGGAGAGCGAGGCGCCGGGCGGAGAGCACGGTGGCAGGTCGGCGGGGGGCAGGCGGAGGGACCGGGGCCTGGCTTTGTGAGTTCAGGAGACGATCTCTGAATTCAAAAAAACTGGTTTTCGAGCTCAAGGAGCCGATGTTCGAATTCAAGAAGCGGGTTTTGAATTCGACGAACCGGCTTGTGGATACAAGAACCGGTTTAGGGATACAAGAAAATGGTATTCGAGTTCAAGGAGCCGATGTTCGAATCCAAGAAGCGGATTTTTGAATTCGAAGAACCCGGCTTGTGGACACAAGAACCCGAGGGCACGGCAGGGTGGTTCTGCGCGCGTGCGCGCCAGGGGTGCTGGGCGCTCGACGCCGGGGGCGCGCTCGCAGGGGGCGGGCCGGGCGAAAGGGCCCCTCGGGGTGGCCTTCAAGGCCTGGCCCGAGGCCTGCGCGACGCCCCAGCACGCCGACCACAGCATCACCAGAGGCCTCCCAACTGGGCAGCATCACCAGAGGCCTCCCAGCTGGGGCCCGAGCAGATGGGGTCGGCGCATCGCGCCGTATCGCCGCTGCATCGGCGACGTCGGCGTAGAGAGCATCGGGCTCCACATCGAGCCGCATCGCCGGTGCATCGGAGGTGCGGCGAGGTCCTTCGAGCCCATCGGCTCCGACCCCATCTGGGACACCTAGAGATGGGGGCGCAGTCGAGTCTGAGTGAGGAGGACACGCGGATAGCTCGAGGGAGCGCCCAAAGGCAGGCCTGAGCTGGGCCAAGTCGCGACATCGGATCGGACCTGGAACGGATCGGGTCGCCAACGAGAGTCGACCACCATCGATTCGAACTCGCACCGCCACGCCCGGCTCCGGCTGGCCCTGGGAGACGTCGGCGGAGCGAGCCGAATCGAACCGAATCGAAATCGCGGCCCGAGCCCGCGAATCACAGCGTTGGGAATCGTTGGGAAATTCGGCCCGCGAATCGAGCCGAATCGAATCGAACTCGCATCGAACGGGATCGTTGGCGGCCCTGCAGGGGTCATCCATCTGGAGGTGTCCCCCCCATATGGCCCCCGGGAGCGGCGGCGCACATATGTTCCCCTCACGCGTCGGAGTGACGGAGCCTGTTCAGATCAGGAGGACTTTGAAGGGGCCCTGGGGCACACAAATGATTACACACAAATAACAGGATTCGCCATATTTTCATGTGTTTTCTGGGTTTTTGTCTTCCCCACCGCTTCCCATACTTTCCCATATTTTCTTGGGAATCGACGATTGATTGTGTCTGTGTGTTTTTCCCCTCCTGAGCTTTGTTATGTCGTGCTCCCTTGTTAGCTCCTCGCTGCGCCCCTGCTGCAAAAACCCGAGGTCCAAGACGAAAACGGGCCGCGAAACCACCAAAACAGCGTTTGGCTTGCGCCCTGCCTGCGCCTGCGGCGGGCTGACCTGCTCCGTTCGGAAACGGACCTGCACTTTTTAGACAGCTGCAGCAGCAGCTGGCGCGCGCTGGGGCCGCGGGGGGTGAGAGGATTCGTGAATCTTGAACGGCCATGGCTTTCCTCATGAGACCTTATCGGCACAACTTCGTGCTGGGCTGAGGGTGGGGGTGGGCACGTGTTTGCTTTCGGTGGGCTCTGTGTCGCCGTCCCGATGCACGCACGCCGTCGCAGACATCAGACTGAGGAGCGCTCCGCCGGGAGAGCGAAACGTCACTTGCACCCCAAACTGACGCAACTCAACATCCGAACAGCCAGGGTTTCCCTCGAGACCTTCGATTCTGGAGTGGCCTCCTGGGTAAACAGAACCTCCCCTGTGCCTGTGGCCCTCTTTGATGCACGGTAGCTTCTTGAGCAGGCCGCTCTCTACCATACCGTTTCGGGGGGGCTTGCCCCTGGACCTCCGCGGCCGCGCATCGCCGCAACGAGGCTATCCGCGCGCCAGCGCGGAGCGCCGCCATCGCAGGACGGCGGTCTGGGCAGGCCCACTTGGAACGCTGGTGCGCGGGTGCCTGAGCAAGTACAACAACTGCGGCGTCGAGACTCACAGCAAGACGCGGCCTCGCAGCCAGCAGGCACCGCGGCGGCTGACGCCATCCCCACCAGTGGAGACGACGACAACGACGGCGGTTGCCACTGCAGCGACCGCTGCACACCAAGCTCGGTGCGCAAACCGCGGCCTCAAGTCGAAGGGCTGAGCCCAGCTTGGCGCGAGGCGGCCTGGTAACGAGGGGCATCGCCTGGGGTCGAAGGCTCGGAAGGGAGTGAGGAGGAATAGCAACAAGACGAGATTGGCCTGGAGGCACCCTGTCCAGGCATCTCCTCTCAAGTACAAATTACTTATGTCGGCTCTCCTGCCAGGTGCCCAGTGCCGACAGGCTCGTGGCCCGTGGCGGTGCCTCCTTGCATTTCTCCGAGCTGCCGCCAGCTACTTCCCCAAGCCGAAAAGAAAGCTGTTGCAAAGCCCCAGCGCGAGTGCCTCCAACGCTCCAGTGCCCATACCCCCCAACTCGAGCCGTGTCAACTTCTAACCCATGTAAGGTCGACAGACGGCCACGAGAGGAAGGTTGAGGAACCCACCCTGAAACAAGACATTCCTGTCTGCCCCACTGACAAGTCCCCTAACCACTTCTGCGCAAACCGATACAATGTGCTGCGTGTCAGTCCTCTGGTGCTCCGTCTTGGGCAGCAAGGGCCAAAGCGTCGTAGTGGATCCCGTCATAAATCCGCCGGCTCCCCTCCGCAGGAAACTGTCGTGAACGCGACTGGCTCTTTGAATATCCACCTTCGCAAGGTACATCTTTCACACACATGTATATTTCACATGCAGCATGCAACCCCATATGCACCAATGCGCTCCGTGCTTGGAGACGTGACGTCAGGCCCCGTAGATCTGGAAGTCAGGGGGATTGCGGGCACATTTCGGAAACGACGGGGATGCCTGGCCATAGCAAAATCCCAGAGAGGCGCGGCAGAATTGGCGAATGCCTAGGTCATCATCAGGGCCCTGCGCATGAACATGGAGGAGTGGTGAGGGCAACGCTTTATCGCTGGCGCCACGGGTGCAAAGCATCGTGCTCCCAAATCATGGTACCATCCGCAAGTTGCGAGCCTGCGAAATCTCGGGATCGCGTGTCGCCATAACGTTCGAACCGAATGCAAAACTGCACAAAAAACTAACATTCCCCTCGCCTCATGCTTCAACCCAAACATACCGAGTACTCTTCATACATCAGTCCAGGCTAACCGAGGTAAACTCACGAATCATGCTTTGTGCTGCCCAGTTCTGTGAGCTTCAAATTGCGACGCAAGACATCATAAACCCATAGCGTGTAAATGTCACCACCCAGTTTTCCAGGCGCCTTCAGGACGAGCACATGCAATTAAGGCAAAGCTAGGCAGCAGTAGACGTGCGTCAGCATTAGCCCCGCACTGGGATCTGCTCCATGCAGCACCGAAGTAACTGAAAAGGAGAGCATGCTGCGAGCTCGCACGTCAGAGATCGACATGCTGCAGTGGAGTTAGAAGAACCCGCCTGCGTCCAAAACTACGGCAGGCACACACGGTAAGACATATGGAGCAAAAGAGCGATCAGCCTCTGTTTTTCCTGAGATGCCTCATGACCTCTCTGGGCCCCATCGCCTTCTGGGGATCATAGATATCCAAAGTGGGACTTGCTTGCACACTCATGTCTTACTTGATGTGCCTTGGTGCCTGGACAAAAAGTGTCCACACACGTTGCGACAAGGCGATGCAACAGGATAACAACCACAACTCCGAGATGCCCTGGCTTCGCACCCCGCCCCCCTAAACCCAAAGTTGAAGTGTCCACATTTTGTCCCTGGCCTCTGGCCTACCGCCGAAACCCTTCAACTTTGCATTTCGGGGAAGCGGGGTATACGGTATACATGTTGGTCCGACGTACTTGAACGACTCAAGGGCTTGGCGAGACACGTGTGGACACTTTTACAGTCGGGCTTGATTGGAGAGGGCACGCGAGAGGACACAAGACACCTTCGAGGGCCACATCGCCACAGGAATGTACGAAGCATGGGTCGCGAGACACAGGACACAAGAGTACCCTTGATCTGGCAGGGTCGACCTACTAATCTGGGCCGCCTGTAGTCCACCCACCGATGCCACGGGTCTCTTGCAGCCAACGCCTGGCGCTGCACGGATGCTGTCTTGTTGGGGTGGCCCGCCCACGGCGTCGTGCCAGAGAAGGGGGCTGGAACGAAAGAGGGCACGGAAGGTCGGGGGGGCGCCGCTGAGTATCGGGGTCCGCGGGTCTCCCTTTGCGGCCGGCGCCTGACGCTGCACGGATGCTGTCCTGCTGGGGTGGCCCGCCCACAGCGTCGTGCCTCCTCCTCCTCCTCCTTCTCCTCCCCTTCCTCCTCCTCCTCCTCCTCCTCCTTCTCCTCCCCTTCTTCCTCCTCCTCCTCCTCGTCCTCCTCCTCCTCCTCCTCCTCCTCTTCCTCCTCCTCCTCCTCCTCCTAAGAGAGGGGGCCCAGAACGAAGGCGAGCACGAAACGTCGGGGGGGCGCCGCTGAGGGTAGCCCATGCCCTCGCCGTAGAGGTCGCGCCTGCCGCTGGGCGCCTCTCTGTGTCTCCGTGTGCACGTCTCTATCTCGGTGTCTCACTCGCGCCTCTCTCTCTCTCGTCTTTCCCGTTTCCCTCCCTCTTGCAAACCCCCTCCTTCCATCCCACTCTCTCTCTCGCCCTCCCTCTTCCTCCCTCCCTCCATCCCTCTCTCTCATTCTCTCTCGTTTTCTCTCCCTCTCTCTCTCTCTCTCCCTCTCCCTCTAGGATCAAGCCCCAGTGGTGGAAACTGCCAGCTTCCCGACTGCTCACCATGCCAGAACGCGCCGAAGAGGAGGAGCACCGGTGGGGATTGAGGAGGGAGAGGGGGGCACACGGACATTCCTGCCATAAGGCCCTCAAGACACGTTTCGGGGGCGGTCGAGGTGCGCTGGCGGGCGCCGCGGCGGGGGCGAGTGAGCGGCGAGGGGGGAGTGGCGGAGGGGGGAGCGGTGGAGAGCGAGGCAGGTGCAGGAGCTGGGACAGGGGTCGACGAGGATCGGGGATCGAGGAGGATGGCGGAGGACCGAGGATCGGGGAGGATCGAGGACAGATGAGGATCGACGACCGAGAGGTCTCCGACGGACCAAGAGAGCCATCAGACATCCGAATGGATCCCCAAGACGGCCAGGAGGGGAATGATGACCACACCTGAGGCTTGTCGAGTCATGCCTGGTGGTGGTTGGGACACTGCCAGCACGAGCGCGGGACTGGCTGGGCCGACAGTGCCCAGTGGTGCCTAGCCCCTACGGGCTGCCAAGACCCACAGATGCTAATGCACATATGGTTTGCCCCTGCAGGTCCGAGCACCACGAGGAGGCTGCCACCGCACGTGCGAGCATCCTGTTTCAAGCAAGGGCTTGGACACCACCACCGTAGCGCCTACACACGAAAAGGCGAGCGACTACCTCAAACACGGGATGCGGCAGCACTGGTTTCCCGATTTCGCTGCCAGGAACCAAGCGTAAGCCTTTAACGACATCGCCACATCATCTGGCTAGCTATCTAAGCTCCTCCTCCTCCTCCTTTTCATCCTCCTTTTCCTCCTTTTCCTCCTCCTCCTCCTCCTGCTCCTCCTCCTCTTCCTCCTCACACCGCCTATTACGTATTATGCAGCCGGTAGGGCCGGCAATTTCCAGCAGTCTGGCGAAGCACGATGGGAGGAGGGGCCGATGTGTCCTGTTGCGGCAGATGTCGAAGGCGGCAATCTCGCATTGAAAGTGCTCGGAGAAGACGCTTATCTCGATAGCTCCACCCCAGCTGTCAGCCTGCCGCTGGTGGGGAGGTGTTCCCACAGGTTCGTGGTGCAGCCACGCGCCACCGCAACGACAATTGGCGAGCATTTGCACGGGCGCAGCACCACAATAATACGAGGCCAGTGGTCAAGACCACGCGTGAGCTATCTAAACTGTCACTGATGGGTCGTTCGGGGTCTGGGCGGTCTGGGCTAAGCGGTCTGGTGTCTGAGCCGGAGAAAATGTTCCCACTGCGGCTGCCCTCACGCTCACCTCCCCCTGTTCCTACCGCTCCCTCCACCCCTTCCCCCCTCACATGTTCAATTGCCTCCGAGCGTGCAACCGACGCCGTCCTCCTCCCTGACCCCATCCCCACGCTGTCCGCCCTCCTCCCTCATTCCATCTGACGACTTGCAATGTCCCCAACATCTAAGTCATAGTGAGGGGACAGAAGGGTCGCTGTCCCTGGGCGCGTGGCTGAAGTGGGGCTCCGCGGTGCGGATTGCTGTTGCGTTGTTGCGTTGTTGTTGATGTTGCGTTGTTGCGTTTGTTGTCGTCGTCATCTCCCGCGACCCACCCCGCAACCAACCCCGCGACCCACCCGCGAACCACCCACATTGCTTTAACGGGATTTCGGAGCCCGTGGCGGACTCTTCGCGAAATGTGTTAAGAGATCTTCGCCCGCGGCGGGCTTCTTCAGAGTCTCGCAAACTGCCGACGCCCCCGCCGCCCCCTCACTGCTACCCGCAACTGCGGGGTGCTACGCATCAAGCCGCCACCCAATTCCCATCACACACCCCATTTGCCACTGTCGCCTACATACCCTCCGTCCATGGTCAGTAATATACTCGTCACTCCCACAAAAACTGCAACACCCATCACCAACGATGAAAACTGCCATCGAAAGGTCTCCATTGGGTGTAACTATAACTCCCCCCTACCCCAATCCTCAAAACTGCCACCAAACTATCCTCACTGCCCCGGCTGAAACTGCAACCGAGATGGTACCAACATCCCGCGGCTAGAACAGCCACCCAGAAAACACCAGACAACACCACAGACGAATCACTCAGTATCTCCCTACACCCAATACAATACTCAAACAGCCACCCAAATATTCCCCAACTGGCTGATTGTGCGGCATCCCTTACCAACGATCAAGACTGCCACCCGACCATCTTCACCCAAATAACTCCCCCCACGAAGAAAACTGTCACCCCGAATGTTCCCCTGCATTGCCCCCCATCCCACCCACCAAACCTTCTCACCAGCAAAAACTGCCACATCCCCCGTCCCTGACACAATCTGCCTCACCACTCGTGGGTCAACGAGCCATCTAGATGTCCTGGCGGGTCGGTCAGGAAGCTGCCCAATATCTTTCAAACTACTGAAAATAAAAAACAATCCCGCGAAAAAAAACTAAGTACGGGCTGCACCCAACAGTGCATGCGCGCAGCCAAGATTAGGATGCGTGTGCTCTTGGTCGGCAGACTCAGCGTGCCGCGCGAATCGCCCTGGTGCTTGTCGCCTCACCGTCCCGTGCACTCCTTATTAGCCCCCCCCCTTCCCATCCTTATCCTTGCTTTGCTTTCCTTGGCCGTGCGTTGCTTTGCGGCACCGCTTTGCCCTTCGTTGCCCTGTCGTTCCTGGATCCGCCTGGAATGGCCACGTCGACGCGCAATGCCCAGCCGCGCTCTGCTGTTGTGCGTCCTGCGTTGCGGTATCTCGCGCTGCCTTGCCTGCCCTGGAGTTGCCCGACCCGGCCATGCCTCTCCCCGTCGTGCTCTGCTTCGGAGGGCCACGAATTATGATTCCCCAGTCAGTGCTTGCACTGAAGGGGTCCTAGCGGGAATTGAAAGATTTGGCGACAATTTCCCGCCGATTTGGGTTGCCGGCTGGGTTCCCGGGTGCCCGGGCTCTGGGTTCCCAGGCTCCTGGTCAGTGGTTCCGGGCCGAGTTCGGTGGGTTCCCGGGCTCCCGGGCTTCCGGGCTCCCGTTCGAGCTCCCTGTCGATCTCTGTATCGATCCCACTGCAAACCGTTCACTCCTTGGGGCTTTCCTCGTGCGTGATTCTCGGGGATGGACAGACCTCCCTTTCGTAAAACGTGGTTTCGTGAACACGACCTCGGGCCCAACCCTGGCGGGCGCACGCCTGGAAAATCACGGCCGCGGCGCCCTCTCGAGAACCGAGCACGGACAATTCACGAATCGACGTGTCCCTGTCAGGAGGTCTGTCCACCCCCGAACTTCTTTGGAGCCTGCACGCTGCCGCGCCTGCGCTGGGCTGCTGCTCCCACTGCAAGCCGTTCAGCTCCCAGGCTCCCGGTCGAGCTCCTTGTCGATCTCTTGATCGATCCCACTGCAAACCGTTCACTCCTTGGGGCTTTCCTCGTGCGGGGGGCTTTCCTCGTGCGTAATTCTTTGGCGCCTCGTGCTTGGAGCTTTCCTCGTGCGTAATTCTTGGAGCTTTGGATCCCTGTCGATCGTGCCTCCTGTCGATCCCACTCATTGGGGCTCTCCTCGTGCGTACTTCTTTGGGGCCTGCACGCTGCCGCGCCTGCGCTGGGCTGCTGCTCTGCGCTGCCGCCCCGCGTGCGGGGCCTCGTGCCCGGCCGCCCGCGCCGCGCGCTGCGGCCTCGTGCGCGGCCCGGCCCGGCGCCGCGCGCTGCCGCGCGCCGCCGCGGCGTGCCCCGGCCCGTCTCGCGCGCTGCCGCCTCGGCGCGCCTCGCCCCCTCGCCATCGCTCGGACGTCAATTTTTTGTGTTTTTGTTCGGTTCCGTGCGTGTTTTTGTTTTGCTCTTTGGTCGAGGATGGTCCTCGATGGTTCTCGCCGAGGAAAAAATGCACACGTCCAAGCGATGCCAGGCCCCTCCATATGGCGCTCGCCTCGGCCCGCTGCCCTCCCTGCCTGCCCCTGCGCGGCCGCGCCCTGCGCTCCCCTCGAGCCGGACTCCTCGTCTTGCCTCTTCTGCAAGGCTGCGGGTTGCCCCCCCCCCCCCCCCGCACGTGCAGGCTCCCTCGCCATCCGCCGCTCACCCTGGCCTCCCAACGCCAGCCACCTCCCCTCCCTTTCCTCCTCTTCCCCCTCTCTTCCTGCTCTCCGCTCCGCCCAGTTCCCCTCAACGTTTCCGCCCCCGCACCCCATTGCCCCAATCACATCACCTCCCTCGAGAACCGCCTGTACACACGGTTACCCATCGCCGTTAGCGTGTCTACGGTCAGGACAGACGACAGGGCATGCGGTATGCCAGACGGCATGATAGAAGCCCATCGAGAAGATGAGCAAGAGGACGAGCTACGCTGCGGCACGATCCTTACTACAGACAGCAAGTCTGAGGACAATCCATGATGTAAGTCAAACAAGGCAGCAAGAGAGAGGGCAAGCAGCATGAGACAGGACACTCGAGGCCTTCTGGATAGACGATCAGAAGGGCAACTGGCGGCACGCACATCGAGGCGCAAACCGAAAGGTCACAGTAACGCAGCCCGCTGACAGAAACAGGCGCCAAACAAGTAGGCAAACACAAACGTCACTCATGCGTCTCGCTCAGTGCCGAGCTGCACGTCGTTCAGTTCTAATCGTGCTCATTTCTAACTGTGCTCGTTTCTAATTGTTCCTGGCCCCCTAGTGGCCAGGAGGAGGTCCAGGATAGAACAATTAGAAATGAAATGATCTTGCCCCCAAAAAATCAAAGAACTGCCGAATACTTAGAAAGGAACAATGTGTAGAGAAAACGCCAAGAAGGCAAGCTTGCGGCGGAATTGGACACGAGCGAGGGAAGAGTAGGAGAACGAGGAATTCAAGGCAGAGCAAACGGTAGTTGGGCCAACGTCGGCCCAGACACTCGAAGGGGGGCAGCAAGGCAGCACCCGCTGAGACACAACGGGCGGGACCCTGAGACGCATTTGCGCACTCGCTCTGGACGCTGGCGGATCCCCATGCATGGCGGGTTCTGGAAGCCCTGAACCCCAAACATGATATCACCTCTAGGGGGGGCATCATCTGCTTCCGTTGGCTTCGAAGGGCCTTCTGCCCACTTCCGCTGGCGGGGCCGCCGCTGTTTCGCTTTTGCCAGCTTCCTGCGCCGTTCCGCCGCCGCCCTCCGCCGAGGAAGAGATGACAGCTACTTGGGTCCTCGAAGGCGAGGCCCTTTCTAGAACGCCTCACATCGACGATAAAAAAACGGCACAACCACAACTTCACGGAGGTCCGCGGCGATGCACTCTCCTCCCTGGCGCGCATAGCGCGACAGGGACGACGCCGTAGGCGACAACAGGGAAGCCCAACGCCGATCCAAGAAATCCGCGCGGAACTCCGACAATTATGTCTGAGCCGTTTTGTGTTCTTCGGCATACCCGCCAGTCGACGAAGCACGTGGAAACACAAAGTCCGCCGCCGTGCCCTGGGCACGAAGTGGGCGTGTCCTCAGGTCCTGTGCCAAATCCCCTGAGCCTCAGTCCTCACCCCTGAGGAGTCTGTAAGGGGCCCGGACCCCAAATTCTCAAATCTCCTGGGGCTTGGCGCACCTTCTCGCGCAACTTTTTCGGGTCCAGGAGGGCCCGGAGACGCCCCAAGATCGCACCAAGACGCCCAAGATGGCCCCAAGATGATCCAAGAAGCCTCCAAGACGCCCAAAGAGGCCTCCAAGATGTTTACCAAGAGGGTCCCGAGAGGCCAAAGTCATTCATGTTCCAAAAGATTTTCCAATCATTTCGGGTCCTCGACTTTTCGAGCTCCCGACTCTCCAAGACGGCCCAAGAAGCCCCCAAGACCGCCCCAAGACGGACCCTGGAGGCCCCAAGACGGCCCCAAGACGGCCCCAAGACTCCAAGACGACCCCAGAGGCGCCCAAGACGGCCCAAGAGGGCCCCAAGACGGCCCCAAGAGGGGAAAACGAACCGAAAATCTAAGCCTTCCGCCCCAACAGGCGCCCAGGAGGCCTCAAGAGGCCACCAAAGGCCCCAAGAAGCCCCCAAGAAGCTCCCACGAAGCCCCAAGAGGCCCCCAAGAGGCCCAACAGAGGCCCCAACAGTTTCCACCCCAGAGGCCTCAAAACTGCCTCCAAGAGGTTCCCGAAAGGCTCCGACGAGATTCAACAACCTTCCAAGAGGCCTCAAACCCACAACCCAAGCACGGTATGGTGATGGGCCGAAGGACATGAGATCCGCTGCCCCCTGTTGACTTGCCAGAGGGGTGCCTGGCGTGCCAGACTTCAGGAGGACTTTCGTTCTATTGGAACCTCCTGGGACTTCGGCCAGCGCGCCGCGACGACCACCCACAAGGGACCGGGAACAACCTCAATGTTTGGAAACAACCTCCAAAGACGGCTCAAGCTGGCCTCCAAGAGGGCAAGATGGCCTCCAACTTCGCCCAAGAAGGTCCAAGATGGCCTCCGAGACGGCCCAAGCGGGTCCAAGAAACCTCAAAGTCCGCCCAAAAGACCCCCAAGACGGCCCGAGAGGCCCCCAAGAGGTCTCCAAAACAGCCCAAGAGGCCTCCAAGAAGTCCCCCAGGAGAGCCCGAAGAGGCCAAAATCATTGATTGGCTCCAGGTTTTGAACGACTTTGGCATTAGATTCTTCTCGGCCTTCCGACGGCCCAAAAGGCCCCGAGATCGCCTCAAGAAGGCTCGTACGGCTTCCAAGATCCAAGATGGCCCCATGACGGCACAAGAGGCCCCCAAGACGGCACCACGAGGGCCCCAAGGCCGCCCAAGAGGCTCCAAGACGCCCAAGATGTCCTCCAAGACGACCAAGATGGCCCCAAGAGAGCCCAACATAGCAGCAATATGCTTCCAAGACGGCCCAAGATGCAGCCAAGACGGCCCAAGATTGTCTGAAGGTGGTCCTCCAGGGCAGCCCGCGACGCCCCCAACAGGTCTCCAAGACGACCCAAGAGACCTCCAAGAGTTCCTCCAGGAGTGCCCGAAGGAGCCAAATTCACACATCTTCTGTTGGTTTCTGAACAATTTGGGCATTTCCTTCTTTTCGGCCTTCCGACGGCCCAAGACGGCCCAAGAGACCTCCAAGAGTTCCTCAATGAGGGCCCGAAGGAGCCAAATTCATAAACTTTCGTTTGGTTTCTGAACGGTTTGGGCATGTCCTTCTTTTCGGCCTTCCGACGGCCCAAGACGGCCCAAGCTGTTACCAAGATCGACCCAAGATCGCCGAAGAGGCTTCAAGTTTGGCCCCACGAGGGCCCAAGAGACCCCGAAGACGGCCCACACACGGCCTTAGGCGGCCTCCTTCTCCTCTTTCTCATCCTCCTCCTCCTGCTCCTCTTCCTCCTCCTCATCCTCCTCATAATCATCATCATCATCATGTTCATCCTCCATCTCCTGATTCTCCGCCTCATGCTCCTCCAAGTGTACCCCGAAGGGTTTCCACAGCTGCTCGGGGAACACCTGGCCCGATAACTGATCCAAGTTCTGGACCCAAACGTTTGGCCACGGAGACGCTTTTCAAAAGGCAGGGGGCGGCGGTGATTCGCCGTAGGCTTATTCGATAGGAGGGTGGATCAAGTTCATTGGGTTCGTGCCGGCCCAGAGAATAAAACAAGCAACAACAACATCAAACACACATCGATTATTGAAGTAGGAAGGCGCTTGAAGTAGGTTGGGGTCTAGGAGTCGAGACATCCGCCACCGTGCCGCTAGGCACGGAGTGGGCATGTCCTCAGGTCCTTGCCTCATTCGTTAACCCTCAGCTTCGTTCCCGGAGGGTCTATGAAAGGCCCAGATTCTCTAATCTTCTTGGGCTTGGCGCGGTTCCCCTGGGATCCGGGGCATCTTCTCGCACCACTGTTTGGGGCCCAAGAGGACTCCAGGACGGGCCAAGAGGGCGCCGAGAGGCCCCCAAGACAGTCCAAGAGGACCAGGAGACGCCCCAAGATCGCACCAAGACGCCCCAGATGGCCCCAAGACGGCCAAAGAAGCCTCCGAGACGCCCAAAGAGGCCTCCAAGATGTTTCCCAAGAGGGCCCCGAGGCCAAAGTCATTCATTTTCCAAAAAGTTGTTTAACCATTTCGGATCCTCGGCTTCTCGAGCTTCCGACGCTCCATGACGGCCCAAGACGGCCCCAAGACGGCCTAAGCGCGCCCCAAGAGGCCAAGAGGGCCCCAAGACGGCCCCAAGAGGGCCCCAAGACGGCCTCAAGAGACCCCCCGAGAAGCTCCGAAGCCGCCCCAAGAGGGCCCCAGAACGGCCCCGCGGAAGCCCCAGAACGGCCCCTGAGAGGCCTCCCACGAGATCCCCACGAGCATCCCAGAGTAGAGGAGGAGGAGGAGGAGGAGGAGGAGGAGGAGGAGGAGAAGGAGGAGGAGGAGGAGGAGGAGGAGGAGCAGGAGGAGCAGGAGGAGCTGTAGCAGCAGGAGGAGCAGGAGGAGCAGGAGCAGGAGGAGAGAGTGAGGGAGGGAGGAAGGGATGGGAGGGAGGGCAGAGGTAGAGATGGGCGGGCGGGCCCGTGACCCACGGCCCAGGCACCATGGCGGCATGGGGCCGAAGGCCGTTCGCAGAACCAACCTTCCAACGAGCGGCACGGCTCAGGTCCCTCGTGGCTCCCGGGCCTTCTGCAGCCACTCCACGTACTCCCCGTTCGGCTTCCCGAGGAAGGCCTGCCCCCGACGTGGGCGGGGGCCGGCCGGCCCAGCCCTCCCTGTGGGCCTGCCACGGCATGCTCTTCCAAGATCTGGGTGCCCTGGGACACACAAATAAATACACACAAATAAACAGATTCCCCATGTTTTCTCATATTTTCTGGGTTTTTGTCTCCCCCCCCACTTCCCATATTTTCCCATATTTTCTGGGAAATCGACGATTCATTGTGTCTGTGTGTTTTCTTCCCTCCTGAGAAGAGGAGAGCGCCCTGAGGACAGACGCACCTTGCCCTCCGAGCCTGGAACCGCTGCGCTCAAACAGAGCAGCCCCAGCCAGAAAAGATCGGAGACCAGCTCGTGCAAAATTGAGGGATGGAAAAACGACCCTCCCCTGGGTTACAAGTGCGTGGTCTGTCAACCTCCTGGGAACCCCCAAAGCCTAGAGCCGCCAGGACGCGGCACATCACGCAGGGTTTACCCTGTCAGCCCACAGGAGTTTCAGCGCACAGCGCCTCGTAAACCAGGGTAGGGGCGTTTTTTCCTGCCCTTGATGGCAGGAGCGTCGACCCAGCCCCAACACGCAAAGCATATCATGGGTGGACGAGGAGGAGGAGGAGGAGGAGGAGGAGGAGGAGGAAGAGGAAGGGGGGGAGGAGGAGGAGGAGGAGGCGGAGGAGGAGGCGAAGGAGGAGGTTGGCGAAGGAGGAGGCGTTGTTTTCTATGCCCTTGACAAAAGGCACCAGGAGGTCCTCCGAACATCCCTGGGTCTGGGGTGGGCCTCTGGGCGAGCCGGGACGCCCCGCCGCTGCTCGACGCTGCAGGAGGAGGAGGAGGAGGAGGAATAGGAGGAGGAGGAGGAGGAGGAGGAGGAGGAGGAGGAGGAGGAGCAAGAGGAGGCCGCCTAAGGCCGTGTGTGGGCCGTCTTCGGGGTCTCTTGGGCCGGCGGCACGCGCCGGCGAAGCTCCCCGCGAGCAGAGGGGCTGCACGGGGCCTGCTGCGCGCGAGGCGGCCGGGGGGCCCTCACGCTCACGAGCCCGCCCCGCCCCCCCGACGAAAGCTCGGAGGCCCGGCGCCTGCGGCGCCGCCCCTGGCGCGCTCCGCGCGCCAGGGGGAGGGGGGGGGGGCCCAGCACCGATCAACAGTCCTCCCGCCCCCCCACCTCTCCAGTAAAAACTCGGAGGTCCGCGCGGATTTCTTGGATCGGTGCTGGAGCCCCCCGGAGGCGCCTCTGGCGCCGCCCCTGGCGCGCTCCGCGCGCCAGGAGAAGGGGGATCCGGCACCGACCAAAACACAAATCTGCGCGGACCTCAGAGTTGTTATGCTTATGTGGTTGTTCGTTCCCCGGCGTCCGCCCTTGAAGAAGGTGAGGGGACGGAAGGAGGGGCGATGACCAGATTAATGACTATCACGACTGCCGCCCACAAACCAGCCAGCAAGAGATCGGAACATCATAATCTGAGTAGCAAGTTTCGTCGGGATGACTGGTGGGACACTCCTGTTGCTCAAGTCCGCCACCTCTCACAAAGGGTCTACCAAGACTACAGACTAGAGACCAGCGCCCAGAAAATATGTTCTTACAGCCGTGGTGGGCTCTTTGTTGAACGCACACACAAGAACCTGAATTGGAGGTCGCGGCTGGGTGGTATACGTCAAGAGTTCAGACGCTCACCACTCGCTTCATTGCCACATGGTCTTACTTGTCAATCCCGGAGTCTGACTAGTCCAGCTCTGAGGAGCAGAAGTCGGCTTGCACTAAGAAGAAGTGCTGATATTCCGAATGGGCACAGCAAGCGCCGACAGGCCTGACCCGGGCGCAATGCGAATCGTAACGCACAGGCCTCCAGAAAGCTGTTCTACACAAACGGCCATTCCAGCTTTTAGTACACTGTTGGCAATGGCGAACCAATGATATGGGAGGGTAACATGCTTCTGCTGGACCCTCACCATGCAATTCACAACAAGTGTTGTCCAGGTCGTGCTCAACGTGAGGACCATCCGCACAGAATGGTAGCACGCCAGCAACGCAGAGGTCGAACTAATGAACCTCACGGTGACATGGACCACACGTGCCCAAAGTTCGATGCCGAGGGCGCCATCCCCGACGGATAGTGCGGCAACATAAATGGTGAGGAGTAACGCGACAGAGATCCCCCTGCCCTCCGAGTACGATCTCGTCGCTGCTCCTCCGAATCATCCTGCTGAGAAAAGCTGCCTGGAGGTGCCTCCAATGAAACACTCCAGCGCAGCTTCGAAGCAGCAACACTCTTGGCGAAGGAATCTGAACCAAAGTGCCTCGAGCCGACAATGTTTAAGCATCGTTTGACCGATCCCTATCCACACTGGCGTGGCCAGGGCTCCACTGGCCGATGTACCCCCCTAGATGGGGATATAGGCTGTGGCCTTCGGGTTTCGATGGGCACATCTCCAACTGGGGCGGTGAAATTGTGGGGATCTCGGGACGGGCATGGGCACGGGCATCGGCTACACCATCCTGAGTGCTCGAGCGCAGATGCCCGCGGACCTCGCGGCCGCGCCGAGCCGAACTTTGGCACCGCCGAGGGCCCCGGCGACAGGAGAGCAGGACGCGGGGGGCGCGGGCGAGGGGCTCCGACGACGCAGCGCGGTGGGCAGGGCGCGCCGCACGGGGAGCCTCGGGAGGCCCCTGAAGCCCTGCCCCCCAGCAGGACACTATGTTTGCGTGACTACAGCCACGCTTGTTTTATTGCTGTTTTTTCTTCAACCGTGTACCATTCGTAAGAGATTCAGGCGCCGCCTGAAGTGAACCTGCGGCCCTACGCTGCACGACACGCCGCAAACGAAACGAATCTCAAAAGCCCCACCATCAAATTCCATATGTGGAGATCCCAGCAATCAAGATCGATCCGAAACGCCCCACCATCGAACTCGACTTGTACATCCCCACGCGCGAAATCAATGTGTACCCCATGTGCAAGATGAGTTTGTTTGTGGGGGATGTGCAAAGGCAGAGCCGTGGGGCCACAGAAATTTACCAAGAACACAAGATACCCAAGAGTAAAAACGGAAAGTGCATGTTTTCCAATGGCACATATGAACGCTTGTGAGTCTTGTCATTCTTATTCGTATAAGCCAACAAAAACCTGACAATCACGACTGTTCCTCAGTTGTTCCTGTTTTGCCGTGTGAACGCGCAACTTGTCTACCATGTTCAATGTGTAAAGAAAGTTTGTTTCCTCGTGAGCTTCCGCGGCCCAATGGCAAGGCACTAAAATGCCTCATACTTGAAATCGAATTGAAAACCCACAACAAACTTCAATTTGTAATTCGCCACCCTTAAGATCAATCTGGAAAGCCGCACAACCAGATTTCAATGTCCATTTCCACAAATAAACTCAACATGTAATACATGTGCAACTTGATTTTAGTTGTGGAGGATTTCCATAGGCAGAGCCGTTTGGCCTGGAAACATACCAGGCAAACAAAAACAAGACAACACTAAAAAACATATGTTGTCTTATGGAAGAATATGATCAACTAGAGACTAACATGTGGCTGCTGCTGTTATTACCAGCTAAATGATTAACACATCAGTCACAACTGTTCCTTGTATTTTCTTGTTTGTCCATTGAGAACACAAATGTTTCCTGCTGTTAACGTTTTCCTGGTAAGCTTCCGCCACTACACGGCAAGCCACTACAATGCCCCAAAACTACAAGTCCATGTGGGAAGTTCAGCAATCGAGTTCAATGCGTATATCGCCACAATCAAGTTGATCTGAATAGCCTCACATGCATATTCAAATTGCCAACCCCCACCAATGAACTCAATGTGTAATCCATGCGCAACTTGACTTTCACTATGGGGGCCTTCCAAAAACGCAGAGCCGTGGGGCCGTGGAAACATACCAAGAAGACAAAAAAGGAAGCACCGGGAACAAAAACATATGCTATCACATAGAAATATGGGAAGAATTGCGGCGGGGGCATTGGATAAGGAAATCTGAAATCATAAACCCAGGGTCTGGAGGCCGGTGGAACTCCAACTGAGGCTTGGCCATGGATATTACCGCCGCCATCATCAGATAAAGAACCCTCCAGGGTCTGAAGCCTCCCTGGCACATTCCTTAAACAATGCCCCCACCGGAAAGAAAACCTGTGTTTGTTTCCATGTTTATTCGTAAAACGAATAGTGATAAATCAAGCCCCGACAATCACAGCTTCTTCTTTACATTTGCCTTCGTTGCATGTGAACAAACAATGTTTGCCATGTTTGTCGCGACCCAACAGCAAACCAAAACAATCCCCCAACATTAAAATCAAATCGAAAACCGAACAATCACATTCAATATGTAAATCCCCACACATAAAAAGTTCACGTTGAAAAGTCCTACACTCAAACTCAATTTGTAAACCCACACATACGAAATCAACGCGTAATCCATTTGCAAAGTTGATTTTCAATGACAGATGGGCGTGCAGATCACGAGGAAATCAACTACGTAAACGAGCCCTGTTGTAATCATACAAACAGAAGGTCTCACCCGTAGGCCCCCCCAAAAAAGAAAACCCCTTCCCTCCGCTCCCCCTGCGGACAGGGGAAAAGCTCGGCCAGGCGAAACTCGGCAGGCTGGGCTCGGTCAGGCTGAACGCCGCCCGAGCGGCGCTCAGCCAGGCCGAGTTCAGCCAGGCCGAGTTCAGCCTGCCCGAGGTCAGCCAGCCGAATTCAGCCTGGCCCTTAATCGGCCCTGGAACCGGCCAGGCCGTTTTTGTCCACCGTTCCCGAAAACATCTCTTGAAAACGGAAACGGCCAAAAAATGGCGACCGGAAGCGCCAACAGAAACGGCTCTAGGATTGGAACCGGCACCAGCACAAAAACGGCGACGGGACCGTCAACAAAAATGGCGTCGGGACCGTCAACAAAAACTGCCAAACGCAACCGGTAACAGGAACGGCCCTGTCGTTTCCAGGGCCCACTAAGGCCTGGCCGAGCTCAGCCTGGCCGAGCTTGTCCTGGCCGAGTTTATTTGCAACCCTGGAGCGCCCCCTCTTCGGGCAAGATTTGCATCCAGATCCACCGTCTTGGACTTTCTGAGAAGGGGCGCCAAAAGGCCGTGGCGCAGTGGATGTGGATCAAAGTCTATATCTCTGAGGGCAAAATTTCTGTCCATGCCTCTGGGGGCCGGATTCTTATCCATATCCACCGCGCCTCGGGTCACTCCAAGATTTGGCTGCGCGCACCAGGGGGGGGGATTGGATGAAGGCTTCTCAGAAGGAGGCTGCTCCTCAGAAGGCGCGGGCCTCGCATCTGCAGACAACGCCCGCGCCTTATGAGAACCAGCCTCCTTCCAAGAAGCCTTTCCCCCCCCGACCCCCCTGCCCCTCCCCCGTGCGCGTGGTCAGAAGACGCATTGGATTCGGACACGAATCTTGCTCGCACCCTCCACGTGGCCTCAGGTCGGGCATGTCCTCCTACAGGTGGATTTTGGTCGAAAAACGAAAAATACGAAAAAAATCCCCGACATGGTCAAACATAGTCTTTAAAAAGCGTCCCCAGACTATTTGTTGACTAGCTCTGAAGATTCCTCCTGTAGAAGGACGGGCCCGACTTCAGCGTGGCCAGGAGACGCAGTGGACTCGGACACGAATCCTGCTCTCGGGAGCGGCCAAGAAAGGGGTGTCCAAGAGGGGGGCGGGGGGTGCAAATCATGACCGGCGGCATGTGCGCGGCCCAGCGGGGGGGCCAGGGACGCAATGACACAAGAAGAGGCGCCGTGCATTCTCGGGAAAGATCATGGCCCCCGCCATGCTACCCACCCACCCCTATAGTAGTCCTCACCCCCCTCTCTGCCGCCCCCGCTGCTCGCACCCTCCGCGTGGCGGCTGGGGACGGCCGTGGCGGCGCGGGCACCGCGGAGCGCCCCGCGGGGGCGGGGGGCCACCCTGCGGCGGCGCACCGCGGGCCGAGCACGCCTGAGGGCGGCCCGCCCCCCGGGGAGGCCCGGCGGGCGAGCGCCCGAACGTGAGGTCGGGCCTGTCCCCCCAGTACAGGGAGACTCTGGACGACACATAAAGGATCCCCCAATGCTGCTCAAGCATCGCCAAAGGTGGTCCAAAACATCGTCCCCAGACTATTTGTTTTAACTGCCTCTGAATAATTCCCCCCTGTAGAGGGACAGGCCCGACTGAACCTGAACCGGGGCCAGGGCAGGCTGCAGGCGCGAGAGCCCTGCGGGAGAGGGCGCGACCTCGCCTCACAGGGGAGGGGGCGTTCGGCAGAGAGGCGGGGGAAGGAGGGGACGGGGAGGATGCTGAGGGCCCAAAAAAGGGATCGACACAGGCACGCTCTGGAGCTCCCCCGGGCCGCGTCGTTCTGACCAGGATCTGAGCATTTTCTCGGGGTGGAAGGCTCAGGGTGAAATCCATAGCAGTTTTGGCACCTCGACAATCCGTCCGTCTTGTGATTCACCTCTTGCAGATTCGAGCCTCGAGGATCCATCGAAGCGGCATCTCAGATCTCACCCTTTGCCCTCCACCGAGCGAAAGTGCTCGGAGGACCCCAGGGCGCAAATGCACCCGGTGGCGACGTGGGCACCCCCAGGAGGCGCGCGCGATACGGCGAATCTTCGGGGCCCGGGGAGGGCGGCGCCGCGATCGGCGGGTGCTCCGCGGAGAGGCAGGCCCCAACATGCGACGTCCTGCCGTTCTCGACGAGGGAGGAGGAGGAGGAGGAGGAGGAGGAGGAGGAGGAGGAGGAGGAGGAGGACGAGGAGGAGGAGGAGGAGGAGGAGGAGGAGGAGGAGCAGCAGGAGGAGGAGGAGGAGGAGGAGGAGGGTGGAGGAGGAGGAGGAGAAGGAGGGGCCCCCGGAAGTCCTAACCTCTCTGCAGGGCCAGCTCTTCGCTCCTGACCACTATCAGTCTGGTGGCAGCCCCCAGGCCCAGCGAAGGCCCTCGGAGGCCGAAGGGGGAGGAGCACCTCGCGTCGTGACCTTCTCGCGACGCGAGCATGGCTGGGGCAGCGTGGGCCACGGCGACGGCAGGATCGTTCTTTTGCTGTGCCGTTCTCGAGAATCGGGGATGGACAGACCCCCCTTTAGTAAAACGTGGTTTAGTGAAAACGACCTGAGGCCCAAACCTGGCGGGCGCAAGCCTGGAACATAACGGCCACGGCGCCCTCTCGAGAACCGAAAACGGACAATTCACCAATCGACGTGTCACTGTTGGGGTTTCTGTCCACCCCCGAAAGGAACAAATCTAGAGCACGGGAACGGAAACAGCTCCGGGAGTGGAGCCAGAAGCGGAAGCGGAAGCAGACACACCGCGACGGAACCGGGATCAGAAACGTCGCGGGAACCGGCAACAGCAAACTATACCAGAAACGGAAGCGGCAACAGACGCTGCCATGTGGCTTCCAGGGCCCACTAGGGCCTGGGGGTGCCGAAGGGCGGCGGGGGGGCAGGATCAGCATCATCGAATCGGCACAGCGGGTCGAATCGCACTGCGCATCGGATCGGGCTGGGTCGGCATGGCATCGAGACGGCATCGGATCGCCTGCACCAGGGATCCACAGCAGCGCCACGCAGACCTCGGCCGCACGGGCTCCTCGGAGCGTCCGGACCGAATCGGCTCGGGCGGGCCGGCGTCGACGTCGCATCGGACCGATCGGCTCGAAACCGCCCCTGATGGGGGCAGTCGCGCGAGGGAGCCCCCCCCCGGGGCGCGTCCTCGGAGTAGCGCTCGCCATCGGCCGCGATCAGCTCCGCGGCGAGGCCGCGCAGCTCCTGCCGTGGGCGCGCGGCGCGCTTCGGCGCGGGCCGCGCGCAGCGGCCCGCGCCGGAGGCCGCCGCAGGCGCCCTCCGAGGCCGCCGGAGGCTGCCGCAGGCCAGCCGAGGCTGCCTGACGGCTGCGGTCGGGAGCCGTTGCTCGGCGGCGCAGCGGCGGCCCCGGCGAAGCGCTGCGCCCAGCGCGTGCGGTTGGCGCGTCGCCACACGCTCCGCGGGGCGGGAGGCCAGGACTTAGTAGGGCTGGAAACGACAGGGCCGTTTTGTTACCGGTTCCGTTTTGCCATTTTTTGGCCAGTTCCGACGCCGTTGTTTTACCGGTTCCGTCGCCGTTTGTTGACCAGTTCCAGCTCCGGCTCCAATCCTGGAGCCGTTTTTTGCCGTTTCCTGTGGCTGTTTTTTTGCCGTTTCCATTTTCAAGGGACACTTTTTTGGAAACGGAAAAGAAACGGCCCTGCCGTTTCCGTGGCCCACAAAGGGCCAGGAAGGACGTCGAGAGGTGGAAGCTCGGGGACTGGGACGCGCACGACGCGTCGCGCCGAAGCTGCGGCGGGCCAGAACCGGCGGTGCGACACGCGGCGAGCCAGCCCTCCTGGCCGCGTGCGAGGACAGGCGTCTGCTTCCAGCGACCTCCAAGCAGCTGTCGGTATCAGCGAACGGGCGTGGCACATTCACCTGTCGATGCCCTCCCCTTGTGGTCAGTACTGTTGGAGACCGTTCTTTTGAATCGGCGATAACCCGGGCTATCCGTGGGGGGAGGAGGAGGGGGCCGGCCGATAACCTAACCTTCGCGCTGTGGGCAGCCCTGCACATGCCCGCGTCCCCCCACCCCAGACCTGCACAACGGGCAAAGTTAGGTTATCCTGGGGAGGGGGAGGGCAAGCCCGATAACCCGGGTTATCGCCGGACCCTAAAAAACAGACTCCTGGCGTCGTACTTCTGCTCGAGGCGAGCACGTTCGCATCCTTTCGGGCCCTGGGGACCTCACGGAGCGGTCCGAGCATGGTGAGGAAGGGGGGGTCCAGGGCTCGGGTCGTGATTGTTCACGATGCTGCAACTTTTCGCGTCGTCGGATCCTAAGGAAGACGCATTCGGGAAAAAAACAATCTCGTAGCGAACAGGCGTGCCGCACTCACCCGTCGATGCCCTCCCCTCGTGGTCGGTGTGGGCGGTGGGCCGGAGGGAGCTGCACGTCGACCCCGCAGCCCTCCCTCCATCCGGGGGCGAGGGGCGGCGTCCACGCCTCGGACCCGCGAGCGGTGTCGGGGGCGCGCAAGCGTGGATTCGCGATCCACGGATTTGCCTCGGCATGGCCTGAACACGCACGAGAGGCCCACTTCGGCACCCAGAGATCTGGGAGGGAGGGGACTCGGCTCGCGCTGCGCCGCCTCCGCTGCTGCCCCGTCCCCCCATGCAGCTCCCGTCCACTGCTCCAGCTGTGATCCTTGTCTCGGGGGCGCGCGGTCGCCAAAGCCATGGATCGGGGGAGGTGCCCTCCCCAAATATGCGGCCGGCGCCGCCTCGCTCGGAAACGGAAAGCCGCGATTTCTCATGGAAACGGGACCCGTCGCAAGTCCACGCACCCGTAATCCATGTTTTGCGATCGCCTGAGAGAAGGGGCGGGCCTTCTCAGAAGGCTCGGAAGCCCCCCAGACTTCCGAGAAGTTTTCCAAGCCCTCCCCCTGAGGACGAAAAAAAAACGCACCTCTCCGAAGGCGCAAGGGCTTCTGAAAAGTCCCGCCGCCTTCTGAGAAGGCCTTCGCCTTCTCATTTCCCCCCTCGCTCGCCGCCGAACTGCATGCGAGGCGGGGATTTAACCATATCCACCGCCTGGGAACCGACGTCCTGGTGCCCCGGCGGGCGGTGGATATGGATATGGATATGGATATGTATATGGATATGTATATATCCGCCGGCCCCCTTGTGGGGCCACCAGGCTGTAGGCGCGAGGTTCGCAGTTTCCTGTACCAGTTGTAGCTTGTAGTTTCCAGTGTTACAGTTCTGCTTCATGCTGGTTACTGTAACTAGTTGACTTATTGCTGGTTACTGTAACTAGTTGATTGACCGCGCGAGGGGGGGGAGGCCCAAACCGGCTTTTCAGCACCCCTTGGGCGCGTTGTCTGAATTGCTGGGGGGGCTCGAAATCAACACCCCTCACGCAGATCCGCGGGGTCAGGGTCCAAAAACACATGGGATTTGCCACATTTCTGAAATTCGGTGCCACCCCTCACGCAGATCCGCGGGGTCAGGGTCCAAAAACACATGGGATTTGCCACATTTCTGAAATTCGGTGCCACCCCTCACGCAGATCCGCGGGGTCAGGGTCCAAAAACACACGGGATTTGCCACATTTCTGAAATTCTGTGCCACCCCTCACGCAGATCCGCGGGGTCAGGGTCCAAAAACACATGGGATTTGCCACATTTCTGAAATTCGGTGCCACCCCTCACGCAGATCCGCGGGGTCAGGGTCCAAAAACACAGGGGATTTGCCACATTTCTGAAATTCGGTGCCACCCCTCACGCAGATCCGCGGGGTCAGGGTCCAAAAACACATGGGATTTGCACATTTCTGAAATTCGGTGCCACCCCTCACGCAGATCCGCGGGGTCAGGGTCCAAAAACACAGGGGATTTGCCACATTTCTGAAATTCGGTGCCACCCCTCACGCAGATCCGCGGGGTCAGGGTCCAAAAACACAAGGGATTTGCCACATTTCTGAAATTCGGTGCCACCCCTCACGCAGATCCGCGGGGTCAGGGTCCAAAAACACAGGGGATTTGCACATTTCTGAAATTCGGTGCCACCCTTCACGCACATCCATCGCAAGGCGTGGTAACCCAAACTGCGAGAACTCCCTCGGCCCTTTAATCGCAAGGTGTGGTAACCAAGCCCGTAAACCATACACGTCTTACCAATCGCCAGGTGTGGTAACCCCTCTTGTGATCAGTTGGTTTTGCTGATTGCGAATCGGCTTCGCATGAAGTTTCGATACTGCTTCACGACAGCGCCAAGGCCTCATGACTTAGCTCTTCCATGGCCCATTCTCCGAGAGAGGGGGCCGGCGGCAGGGGGCGAAGCCCTTACATATATATAGATATACATACATATATATATACTACACATACCTCATACGCACCTCTCCGAGGGAGTAGAGCTCAGAGGCGATTAATGCGCACGCGTCCGCGATTTTTCTGGGCGTTTCGCTCGGGACATCCTCGAAATTCTGAAAATCGGTGGCACCCCTCACGCAGATCGCGACGTCAGGGTCCAAAAACACATGGGAAATTCAACAGTTTAACATAAAACCTTCAAAAACACATGGTAATTTCAATAATTGTGACACCGATTCTCAGTGAATGGCGGTTTCACTTGAAACATCCTTCCAAAATCGAGCCCCAGACCCCGCCTCGGAGCCTCCTGGGGGCCTCCTGGAACCTCCTGGGGCCTCCTGGGCCTTCTGAACCTTCTGGCACCCCAGACCCCGCCTCGGAGCCTCCTGGGGGTGTCCTGAAACATCCTGGGGCCTCCTGGGGCCTCCTGCGGCCTCCTGGAGCCTCTTGGGGCCTCCTGAAGCCTCCTGGGATCTCCTGGGGCCTCCTGAGGTTGCCTGGGGCCTCCTGGGGCCTCCTGGGGCTTCAGAACTACATGCACACAGAGACACAAATCACGCCCAACACATCACACGCTAGACAAACATAACACACACACACACACACACACACACACACACACACACACACACACACACAACACCTACAACACACAAAAAGCACGCACCACACGAAACATACATCACAAACACACACACACACACACGCACAACACTCACAATCCTGGGGCCTCCTGGAGCCTCTTCTGGTATCCAAGTCGGGCCTCCTAAGGCTTCCTGGGGGCCCTGGTACACACATCGCGAGGTGTGGCAACCCCACTTGCGCTCGAGTGCGACTTCGATGTTGCATTTCACTCCTGCTTCAAACGCCCCTTCAGTTTTTTGTATGAGCCTGGGCACACACGTGCCACTTGTATATATATATATATATATATATGAAACGCCCAGCACATTTTCCGGCAGGAGTGCGAAGCGATGCTATCTCTGGTGTCGACAAGTCTTCCGGCTTTGCAATCACAGATCACACAGACTCGAGCTCGAGGCAACGCTTAACATCAAGCTAAGCGGGCACCTGATCCATGTTGTTCTGCAATTTTAAAAGGAGAGGGCGGCGGTGGGGCAGACGGTTGGCCAGGAAAAACTACAGATCGGTGTTGACGGCGTGTTTCGGTCTTTTGCATATCATTAATCAGCAAGCTTATACAAATGAAACGCCCAGCCCATTTTCCGCCAGGAGTGCGAAGCGATGCTATCTCTGGTGTCGACAAGTCTTCCGGCTTTGCAATCACAGATCACACAGACTCGAGCTCGAGGCAACGCTTAACATCAAGCTAAGCGGGCACCAACTCTTTTTTGCACAGAACAACTCTTCTTCCAAAAACGCCACTGGCTTCAGCCGCACCAAATTCTCTGTATTCGCTGAACCTTCTTTTCGGCAAGCGCGAGCTGGAAGCAACGGACGATGCTAGTGCACAAATCAGCTGGATAAGCCTCGGCCAGGAGCGTGCGAAAAAAGCCGTCAGCATTTTTTCCTTGCAACTGATCATGCGGGTGGCCCGTGCGGGAACAGATCCCGCGGGGGCCTCGACAGAGGCAATGCAACGGCTGGAGGTCTACGTGATCGTATATAATGCGAGTGCGCTTTCGGCAAGACTGGCCGAACTGGCAGAAATCCAACACGACAGAGCGACATTTTCTTTGCAATCTTATGAATTGAGGCGTCAGCCAAATTCTAGACATGTGAGGGTTCTCGATTGCTACCGGCACGCGCACGGCTTGGCACAACATAAACAGCGAGGCTGAGAACTTCATCAGGGCGTTGCCGACCCTGACCTTTTCAGCGTCTCGAGGCGCTAGGTCGGGCAACCCCATCACGTGCAGGTCAC